AAGCGAAAGGGTCTTTAGCGATGCTGGATTGATAATGTCCTCAAAAAGGACAAGTATGAAGGCGGATTTATTTGAAGCTTTAATTTTTTTGAAAAGAAACGGCAATTTAGTTGGAGTAGGTGAAATGTTTAATAATAATAATAATAATAATATGTGACAATTTTACTAGAGTTTATTTCACTATATGTACTCGTATTAATTAATTAGAATTTATATTTGCTCCACCACTCCTTACATGTTTGCTTTTGCCTAATTATTTTACTAAATAAAGAATTATTGTGATCGTTCTATAAATGAAAAATAAATTTTTTATTATTTTATTACAATGATAAATTATTAATAAAGCACCTCGAAAATAAATTACAAGTTCAGTACGCAACCCTATACATGAAATTTCTATCTAATATGCATGATTATTTGTTTTCAAAATACTCTTGAACTCGTTATTTCTTCATCGCCGGCTCCTTCTTAACATCTACCCTATCCTTCAATAACCCAACAATAACTTCTATTACTCGCTTCATATTTTTACACAATTCTTTTTCATCCTCCGAATTCTCTTTCAAAGCAGACTCGGTAAATCGGATATTAAGAGAATTTTTACTTGTACAATATATTCCGTCTGAAGCGTAAAGGATGAAATACCAATCTGTAGCTATTGTAACGATTCCATAGATATAATCAAAGTCATCTCCGAATGCATCACCCGCGATTCTGAGCAAAGCTAATGACTACTTGATATAATATCCCTTCCGTGATGCAAATAAGTTCCTCAAGGGCCTTGATTGTATAATAGACTCGACCGGTATTTTCTTCACCAACAATTTCTAACTGGGGAGCCAAAGTAATTTCTTTTTTTGTTATTCTCTTGACAATATATAGCGAAGACCTGATACTTCATGGGAAATATTTCAAGATATCTTACTCAATTTGTACGAAGTTGTAAGTGTAAAAATGAAATTCAATTGGTTTGGTATATTATCAATTTATTTTTTCAACTCAATTTAATTATAGGGATTAGTAAAAAAACGGCAAACTCATGATGAAAGATACATGTATCAAGCTGAAGAATGACCGAAATATATTCGCACCACATGGCTTTATTGCTATCGGCAAGAATAGTCCCCATATTTCCCAACCTGCATTTTATTTCCCTTATACATTGTTTCAATTCCTCATCATCGTCTTCGAGTGTATATGTTTCTAGAAAGTGGAACATTAAAATTAGCTCATCAACTCACGTAATAGTTTGTAAATAATAAACTGAGAAGATAGGACTCACTTGGTGGAAATTGACGGATTGCACCTATCCCATTACCATCAATCCCATACTTTGCTAATACCTCTTTTAAGTCTTTCTGAGTCTTATACGAGGAAAATGAGCGCTTCTTTTTCCTTACACTCCTTAATGAAGTCTGCAAGCCTCGATGCAGGTCCCAGTTTCATTTTATGTCGCTCAAGTTTTTCTTCGGTTAACTTGAGAAAGTCACGCCCATTAACTTTTTCTTCGCGAATAACTTTCAAGTCATCANTTCTTTCTCCTTACACTCCTTAATGAAGTCTGCAAGCCTCGATGCAGGTCCCAGTTTCATTCCATGTCACTCAAGTTTTTCTTCGGTTAACTTGAGAAAGTCACGCCCATTAACTTTTTCTTCGCGAATAACTTTCAAGTCATCAAGCTCCAAGTCCTCTTCTCTCTGTAAAAATTCGATAAGAGCATCTGTTTTATATTTTTTGATTTCGTCTGCTAACGTGAGTGACACATTTCCAGTTTGAAGGCTTCTGACAATCTGACAACGAAAAAAAAATAAAAAAATGGTGTTATGTACTTACGTAATTACGTTCCGATTATATCCTAGGATAATTCGGATTATTCTAGGATGATTACTCGGATTACCCGTTATCCTAATTTGACAGGATATCCGGATCTTCAAATTTCCCAATGGGTTATCCTAAATTATTCATAGGATAATCCGGTGGAAAGCTCTAACTTTGATATAACGATATTTTCTAAAAATTTCATATATGTCCCAACATATCATTATATAAAAGTTTGACTGTATTAGCATTTTTACTATATACCGAAATTGTAATAATTTGAAGAATAAAATTCCCATCATTCTACCATAAATGTTTCTTTACTGCAGATTTTTTGATATTTATTTTTTGGCATTATTCTTAACAATAATTGAGTATTTTAAATTAAATCTAATCCACCAATATTTTATAAATTTAATTTAATTTTCTGTTATATTTTTTACTTTGAAGTAAATAATTGTTGCCAATTTTTTTAAAAGATAATGTAAGTATTTATAACTTCAAAAGATATCAAAATATAGCCTTGGGTCTCAGGTTTACTATACAATTTACACAATGTAAGTTGCGTTTATTTTGAGTGTATAACATGTATTTTTATCACGTGAATAATTTTCCAGTTTTTTTTGTAACACACTGTATATTAAAAATCAGTTAATTGATTCAGTTAGCTTTTATTATAACTAAAGTTGCTAGAAAAACTAAAGGGTTTTAGACTTTTAGCAAATTGGTAAAATGTTAAAATAGTAAAACTTTATTAAAACTATATGAAAGTTTTATTAAAAAGTCTGAAAAAAAATGAAACTTAATGATAAAACTATAATAAAGTTATAGTAAAATCTTAAAGAAACTAATTGTAAAATTTTCAAAAGATTTAGACAAGTAACTTTAGTTATAACAAATTTTAATATAACAATATTTTAATATATTAAAATTTTCTTTATTTTTATTTTTATATAAATGATATAAATATTTTATTTATGAAATAATGTTTTTTTAAAAAATTTTTAATTGTATAATAAATGCCATTTTACAGTTTATAAAAAACTTTAAATCTTGCTAATATATTAAAATTTTCTTTATTTTATTTTTATATAAATGGTATAAATATTTTGTTTATAAAATAATAAAAATTTTTAATTGTATAATAAATGCCATTTTACAGTCTATAAAAAACTTTAAATCTTGCATTATTTTATTATTAAAATATTTATATTTAGTATTAAGATATACTATTTGTATAGGATTTAATTCATAATTATATATATCTATTAATGTTGTACACTTAGGGTACTGTCAGATATTACCTAATATTACTTTAATATAAAAGCTTACTCCCTCTTCTAGGTAAGATATGTTATATGATGCATATCACCTAAACTCATCAAATAAAATTAGTGATTTTAAAAAGCTAACTACTTGTTAAAATTATATGATAATTAAAAATGTAAACTGATAAAATTACACTTTGAGTTCTTCTCTTTCAAATTATCAGATTACTTTTCCTTTATCTAACATATTTCAAAAGTTATTAAAGTTTAAAGTTAGCATATTTTTATATATCTCTATATTAATTTATATATAAATGAGAAAATTTTGGAATTATTCTATCATGTGATATTGATTATAACCAATTATATTGATTTATTTGTTATAATAAATTGTGATCGAAATTTTAATTACTAAATAAAGTTAGACTATTGCCTCATTTAGAAGTAATAAATCCTAATTTAGTAATGATCATCATAAAATAAAATTTGGACTATTGATGAGTTTAGGTGATATGCAAGAACCCGCCTACTACTAAGATATGTCACCGGTAAAAATTTCACTTTCATATAAAACCTTACCTTAGAATTTGCTTAAATTCTATTGGTTAATTAACTAAAAAGGAAAAAAATCATAACAATGTAACATAAAATTTCCTTTTATAGTAGGATTTTCAAAGAGTTTTATATGTAAACTTTACCTTAGGCTACAGGGTAACCTATCTTAGTAGTAGACAGGATCCTGATATGCACCTAAAGTTGCTTGTCTAAACCTCTTCAAAATCCTACGATTAGTTTCGTCAAAATTTTACTATAGATTTATTATAGTTTCGGCAGAGTTTCGGCAGTTTCGGCATTTATAATAAGTTTCGGCAGTTTCGCCATTCTCCAAAGTTTCGCCAGTTTTTTAATATAACTTTAATATAGTTTCAGCAGAATTTTGCTTTTCGGCGAAACGCCATCTTGCCTAAACCCTTAGGTTTCGGCAAGCAACCTTATATGCACCATATATATAATTCCTTATATAGTATTATATGTAACCTAAGATCTATAATTACCCCTCCTTCCCCTAAAATATTAGGTAATATCTGACAGTACTCTTATTCTATTTTCTATTTTTGGGTTACAATATCATTTACAATTATTTTTATTAAAATTACATAAATTATAATATAAATTTTAATTAATAATTTTATAGACTTTATAATAAGAATACTTACCAAAAATATTTTTTTAAAATTTTAGTTTAGTCAAATTCAATTCAAAACTATTTTTTATAATAAACTTAATTGCCTAAACTGTTTTTATATTTATTTGAAACTAATTATAATTTAGAAAAGTTTCAGATTTACCAATTTTTTCATTAAAAATAAAGTTTTTGAGTTTCAGATTTTTGAATTTTATTATTAAATGAGTTTTGGGCAGAAACATTACTTTATAATTATCACTAAAAAAATAATAAAATGATTTGTATCATTTAGTAATAGAATAATTGAAAAATCTGATATTTAAAATTTTTTTAAATAGTAATTATTTAAAAATATATCAACTGATGTTTAGTTATTAAAACTATTTAAATTTTATTATTAGTAAATTTATATAATGCTAAAATAATAATTATATGATTTTCTAAGTTGATTTTATATTATATAATCTGAAATTCTGAAATTCTGCAATAAAAAACTGGAATTTTTATATAAAGTTAGAGTTCCGAATGGGTCAGGTTAGGTCAGGTTAATTGATCAACCTGACCTGAAATTTTTTTTCAGGTCAGGTCAGGTTAGGTTATATCAGGTTGTCTGTTTGACCTGACCTGACCTGAAACCTGAAAAATTTCAGGACTATTTTTATTAAAGTATTGAAAAAAAACAGTACAAACCTTTTTTTTTTAATATAATATTATGAAAAAAAATTTTCGCAACGTTTTTTCTTGAAATATTGCGATTCAACATTTTTATATTAAAATCATATAAAAAAGTGAATCCCAATACTGCAATTCACTTTTTTTATATAGAATTAATATAAAAAAAGTGAGTTGCGATATTGCGATTCACTTTTATTATATAAAATCAATATAAAAAAGTGAATCGCAATACTGCAACTCACTTTTATTATATAGTAGAATCAATAGTTTCAGGTCAACAGGTCAATCAGGTCAGGTCAATCTTCATACCTGACCTGAATTTCAGGTCAGGTCAGGTCAGGTTACCTGAATTTGGCTGACCTGTTCGGAGCTCTATATAAAGTACTAATAAAAATGCAGTTTTTAAAATTTTTTATTACAAATAAGATAAAATATAAGAAAAAATAAATTTTAATAATAAAAATGCAGCTATTATTTTATAAAAATCATATTAATAAATTTTTTTTTTCATTTATTTCAGATTATAATAATTTAGGTTAGTATTATTATAATGCATAGTATTGGCCTAAATTATTATAAGTTCTGATCAACATATTTTATTTTAAATTTAGGCTAATCATATGAAAATCATGCAATTTCAAATGTTTATAACTTTTTATATAAATTTTCTTTTAAAAATCTGATCAGTAATTTGATAAAGCTTATTTTAAAAAATAAAATTAGTTTATTTTTTTTAAAATTGTATATTTTTTAAAAAGTTAAAGAATTTTAAATATTATATTTTTATTGTTGAGTATAGATTTTTGGCATTATAAAAAATTAATAAAATCATCAATATTGATTAAAATTCAAATTTCATCAGTAGTAAAAATTAAATAAATTCTTAATTAAAATAAATAATAAATAACAAAAAAAATTTATAAAAATAAATATATTCTTTAGTGATTTTATTATTTAAATAATCCTTAAGTGTAATGTGTAATAATACTTTTATTGTTAGTCTGTCACTTAATAGTACAAAATTAATTTGTAGATCTGGCGCAGATTTTATATGAATTACATTAATTGGCATATTTTGATATTGATTTTATCTCACAAGGTCATGTTTAAATGTAATGATGACTTTCCGATCAATAACATTAAACATGAATAAGTCACAAAAAAAAAAATTTTTTATTGTTAGATATAAAATTTAACAAGTTCACCTTAAAGTAATTTTTTATTTTTTTTTTTATTTTTTTTTTTAGTTTTTTTTTTGGCACACCTTGATTCTACCGGGTTTGGAAAACATATCCAGGTAATGTAATACCTTTTTCTAGTAAAATTTTAAAGTATTTATATTGTTATGACGTGTTTTTAAGATAATGCAAATACCATTCCAGAGCAATAGTATTTAATATATGAAAATCTGTCAAAATTAATTATAGATTGCTGATCATTTTATACTGTTAAGTAGCGGACTGGCAATTAATTATTTTACAAGTTTTAAATACCCTTTATTAATAGTAAAATTTTGCAAAATTTGCAAGATAATTTAAGGTATTGTAGCTTATAATATATATACTAAATTTGCTAAAAACTTAAATTAAACTTTAAGGCTAAATTTGGACTAATTTGCCAAAACTAAAATGTAATTTATATATATATTTTTCAAAATTCTAAAACTATAATTTTTCTAATTTTTATTATACAATTCACAAAATTTAAAAATTGCATAACTTTATTATTAATATTGTTTTGATAAGTATAAATTTACTAATTTACTACAATCAAATTATTTTAATAAACTAAATTAAATCCAATAAGCTAAAAATCATAAATTTTAATTACTGGATTATAAGGTATTATAGAATAAATTCTTAAAGGTATACAGTCAACTCCCTCTATAATCACTCCCGTTATAGTCACATTCTACTATATAGTCACACCAGTTGAATGTTCAAAACACTTTATTATTAAAATCTATCCTATATAGTCACAATTTATCTATAGTCACTATCACACCTATCCTCAAAAATCTTATATTAAAAAAAATCGTTTATAATCACAGTTATATAAAGAATATATTAAATAACTTGGCATCTAATAATCGTACAAAGATGTATCATAGCTTGTTAGAATCG